TTATACACCTGGGTGGAGAGAGGCATTGTGAGAGTAAAGTGTCTTGCCCAAGAACACAACACAATGTCCCTGGCCAGGGCTTGAACTCAGACCACCTCATCTGGAGACAAGCATGCGAACCATGAGGGCACTGCACCTCTCACCCTAACTAACAAATGGATATTAAAAAGTTCCAATTCTTTTTACTTTGGAAGATATTAAAGAGGCAGATTTGGAGTGACCTTGGCAGCCGACAATGTGGCAGATCATAGTAGTTTTCCTGACTTAAGTGCTGGGCCTACAATCACGTTTCTTGATACCTCTTTTTACAGATATAAACAACTATCCCTCTTTATTGTATTTATCAAAATAAGTCTGGAAGATGTTTTAACAGCATAGATAGAACACCTATAACATCAGTAGTAGTTTAGCCACTTCTTCAGACCAGCTTGTTAAAAGCAAATATTATTTGAAAAAAACAGAACATGATTCCTGTCACCTTATATAGTAATTCTTTGCATTTTCTTGCTTATATGGTACAAACAGTTGTGTTTGAAGACAGGTGTGCAATGTACAATTTGACTGTGTGATTTTTGCAAAATTTTACTACTGCTGATGTTGCATTTGAGTAAATGTTGTTACCATTTTGTATGTTCTTACTTACTTACTTAGGCCCATCGCTCCAGGTGGAGCATAGCCCATCAACAACCCCTCACCAGCGAACTTGCACTTGGGCTTTTCGTTCAGCTTCTTTCCAGTTGTATCCTATCAACTTCAGTTCTGCATCAGTGTCCTGACATTCGTTTCTGGGGTGTCCCCTCTTTCTCTTTTATTAACCTTGCTGGGTGATGTTGTTCAGTGCTTTCTGCAGGGTGTGACCAATCCAGCCCCATTTCCTTCTCAAAATCTGTTCACCTGTCGGTTGTTGTTCCCCTCGCTGGCAAAGCTCCTCATTGCGAATTTTCTCAGGCCACCAAATATTAAAGTTGCATCTCAGGCAACCATTTATGAAAGTCTGGATCTTCTGGAGTGCCTTTCTTGTCCACCTCCACGTCTCAGATCCATAGAGGAGAACTAATTTTACATTGGCATTGAAGATGCGTAGCTTTGTTTGTGTCCTGATTTCTTTCGATGTCCAGATGTTTTTGAGCATGTTAAATGCTACCCTCACCTTACCAATTCTTGCTGCCACGTCTACATCTGAACCTTCTTGTTTGTCTATAACACTGCCAAAGTATGTGAAAGAGTTTACCTCCTCCAGCCGCTTTCCTTCCACTGTAACTGGATGTTCATTGATGGTGTTTATCCTCATGACCATTGATTTACCCCTATTGATCTTCAGTCCTGTTCTTTTTGATGCTGGTGCCAGTCCAGTGGTCTTGCTTTGCATCTGTTCATGGCTATGTAAAAGAAGGGCCAGGTCATCAGCAAAGTCTAAGTCCTCCAGCTGTGACCAAAGGGTCCACTAAATTCCATTCTTTGTTCCCTCGGTGGTGGTCATCAAAATCCAGTCTAACAAGAACAAACATGAAAGGTATTAACAAGTATCCTTGTCGAAGGCCAGTGGTGACATTGAAGCAATCTGGAAGCTGGTCTCTGTGTACCACTCTGCATGACATTCCCTCGTAAGATTGCTGAATGATTGTAATGATCTTTTCAGGGATACCATAGTGCTTCAGAAGTTTCCAGAGTGTGGCTCTCCACACTGTCAAAGGCCTTTCCATAGTCAATAAAGTTGATGTAGAGAGATGAGCCCCATTCCAGTCTCAAATAGTCTGAAGAGAGCTTCAGTAGAGGTGCCAATGCTTACCTTGAGGGCTTCTGCAGGAACATCATCTGGCCCAGTTGCCCTACCATTCTTCAAAGACTGGATTGCCTTTCTTATCTCTTGTCTTGTTGGTTTACCACAATTAATGGGCAGCTCTATCTCTGCTGGTGGTATATCTGGGGGTCTTCTGGGGCAGGACTGTTCAGGAGTTCACTGAAGTGCTCCACCTTTCTCTTTAGCTGTTCCTCTGCTGTTGTCAATGTTTTTCCTTCCTTGTCTTTGATTGGTGTGTCTTTTAATAGTTATCGTGCTGAGAGCTTCTTAGTAGTGTTGTAAAGCTCTCTCATGTTCCCTTGTGCTGCTGCTTCCTCTGTGTGCTTGACCAGATTGTGTGTATGGCTCCTCTTGTCTCCTACTCCTCACCTCTCTGTGGGCCCTTGTGTACTGCTGCTGTGCCTCTGCCTTACGTGCTCTTGTTCTACACATGTCCAATATGGCCTTCTTCTTCCGTCTCTCTTGTTTCTTTCATAGAGTTTCAGCCGACATCCAGTCGTTATTTTGGGCCCTCTTCCTATCAACTGTCTCTTTGCATATCTCAGTCCACATCTTCTTTGTCTGCTTCCATTTTTCCTCAAGCTGAATGTTTTCATCATAAAACTGCTGCAGCACCTGGTACCCATCGGTGAGGTTGATCTTAAACTTGTCTGCTGTCTCCTCGTCACTCAATAGGTCCAGATTATACATTGTTCTAGTGGCATTAGTGGGTGATTTGCAGTGCTTCAGGCATAGCTTTAGTGTTTGCCAAAACCATATGGTGGTCTGATGCAGCATCAGTTCCTCATTTTACTCTTACATCCTGTAGAGACTGCCTGAACCTCTGACATATACACACATGGTCGCTCTGATTTTCTGTCACATGATCAGGCGATCTCCACATTGCTTTATGAATGCACCGGTGTTCGAACACACTGCCCCCAATAGCCAGACTGTTTTGTGCACAGAAATCTGCAAACAGGTTTTTGTTTTCATTCCTCCTTCCAAGCCCATGTATGCCCATAACCTGCTCATATCCAGTGTTGACATCTCCTGTCTGCATTAAGATCTCCCATGAGTAAGGTAATATCCTTATCACTTTGTCTGTTGACTGCAGTCTGCAGTTGATCATAGAATTCTTCCTTCTTATCATCCAAAGCATCATTCATAGGGGCATAGCACTGTATAACAGTAATATTGATGTTCTTCTTTTTTGTGGTGAAACTGGCTGTGACAATCTGTGGACTGACTGCTTCCCAGCTGATGGGCACTCGCTGTGCTTCCTTGGAAAGCATGATAGCCACGTCCTCTGTGTGTGGTACGCATTCATTCTTGTGACCTGAATATAATATTGTCTGACTTGAAAGTAGTTGTAGCTGACCTGACTGCTTCCACTGCGTCTCCCATAGTCCTAGGAGCAATATTCTGTAGTTCTCCATTTCCTGTGCCACCTGTGCTGCTTTCCTTGCTTGAAACATGGTCCTGATGTTCCAGGTGGCTATATTAGTAGTCCTCCTGGAGGTTAGAAGGGGAGTTACCATTACAGCTTCTTGACAACTTTCACTGTCCCGCATCATATATATCCTTGGTCCAAAGGCCCCTCCTCTCCCAAGTCTTGCTGCCTTGAAGTTGTCGATGTTTCTGTAACAACTGTTTTTATAGATAGGGTTGTTAGGCCTATGCCAACCTCTTTACCGTGAGGAGAGGTGATCCTGTTTGTCAGGCCTCTACCCATTGACTTGTCCAGCAAGGGAGACCTTACCAGGAGCCTAAGCTCCAACTCGCATAGCTATCCAGGTCACAGAGGCACGCAAGCCACCCCACCTCCACAAGGTAGGATACATGGGGGAGATTTTGTATGTTAACATCCATTATAATACACTGCTCAGAAGAAGAGCCGTGTGCTTGGTTCTTTTTTCTGAATCACAGCTATTTTGTAAAATTGTCCAGTATCTAAAGCATAGGACTAATTCTTATCTCCAGTGAGAAAAATACCAAAATTAAACAAGGCTTACCAGTAAGGTGTAGTTTGATTTAGGTTCCGTGAGTTATTGGTCAGGAATGAGGTAGTCATGTGAGGAAGTGCAGTAGCCTGGGAAGATCAGTCATTAACAGATGTGAGCATTTGCAGCCAATTATGGTTGAGCAAACAACACACAGGTGGACACATGACTTCTTCGCTCCCGACCAATGACTTGGAGAACTTCACCTTATAGGTAAGCCTTGTTTAATTTTGGTATTCTGTTTCATCATTGGTTACTATGGATATTACTGTCAATGTAAGGACACCAAGCATAAACACAACTCGACAACTTTAATGGTGGTAAGCAAAGACCATGAGGATCTGATTACATAACAATAAGTCATGTGATTAAGAAATACATGTTAATTTTTGCAGTATCGCAACATCTTCCCCTTTTTAAAGCAAGTATTGCGACTGAGTTCTTGCAAACCGTGACTGAGTTCCTTAGCAAAATAAACAACAGTGTTCAAAATAAAGTTTTCAACAAAGTATAGTCTAAGTCGCAGTTCTGAAAACAGGCTGGTGGTTTGACAATACAACCACTCCTTGTAACACTAGGAGGGAAAGCAACTTCCACATGTTCAGCAACAGGTTTCACAGCAGATGGGCGTCTGTTTGTAGCACTGATTGTGGGCTCAGCTGCTAGTTTTGCAACAGAGTGAAAATCTGACTGTAGGACTGATTGAAGGGGCTCAGCTGCTTGTTTCACAACAGGAAAAGGACTGGATTGTGGCACCATTTACAGCTGTCGGCAATTTTGTCAGTAGGTTTGACCACCCAATAAAACCACATAGGAATGTGGGCGAATCACTTTCTTACAACCAGCTTCCCTCCAGGTAGATTCTTATGACCTCTTCATCCTGACAGTATGTCCAGGTTGCAACTCAGGTAATGCTGTACCTTTCAGGTTGTAGTAGAAATGCTTCTGCTTAGGGTTAATCAGCTTTTCTTGCACGTCCTGGAGGGGAACTGACTTAGGTTCTAGTCATTTACTTGACAGCAGTAACAAATTGCATGTTCTCCTGCTGAACAGCCTTTGAGCTGTGGATGAACCAATTTCCTTAGGCGTGTTACAATAGTCCTTACATTAC